GTGTGTGTGTGTGTGTGTGTGTGTGTGTGTGTGTGTGTGTGTGTGTCAGGAATGTGCTGGAGGACTTCCTTGTAGCAGTTAGGTGGAGACTCCTCCTGAGGACACGTAGTTTTAGTGGCACTTCCCCGTCAGCTCAGAGCTGTAGCAGCAGGACCAGAGGACCAAGGCCTGACAGAAACCCTCAGAACAAACGGTCAGTGACAAACAGCATCACTCTGCTTTGGTTTGTGGGAAACAGACTGAAAGTTTTTACAACATGATTTTTATAAACAACCTTTCCAGGACCATTTTCAACACTGACTTCTAGTGTTTTATCATTTTTATTTCTTGTTCAGATTTACAGCAATGTTTAAAAATCTATGTTAGAAAATGTAATTTGAGGTGCATTTTTAAAAGTAAAGACTGTATTAGATACATCCTTCACTCTRTCTCCTCAGCTCCCTCAGCTGATCCTGAGAATACTTGGAAAAGTTCTGCATCTCCATCAAAATATCAGTACTGAAAGTTTTGGTTATTACAAGCGTTGTATTTTGCGTCATTTGCGTCATTGTTTGAGATCTGTGAATAGATTTCTGAATGTTTTGTACAGTTTGGGCTCTGACAACAGGAGGAAGGAAAGAGGCTCAGTTTTTCCTGGTCCTCAGGTCAGGAAGTTCTCTTTGGTTTCATCTCTTTTTGGTAGATAAGTTCAGCTGTTTGGTTTGTTTACTGAAGTCAAACTAACATGTTATATTAACTAACATGTTATATTAACTAACATGTTATATTAACTAACATGTTATATTAACTAACATGTTATAATCTGTTTGATGTGCTGGTCTTTGTGGGACTGAAGAGGAGCTCCTAACATCTTGAGCCACAGTTTACCTGGACTGAGAATGAAACCAAGTGTTTGATGCTGAGAGATGAGAAGATCTCAGAGAACTTTAAGTTTAGACACAACCTGCTGGAGGTATTTGATACGTTAAATACCAGTACAAGTGGTAAAATGTCAACAGTTGTTGATAATGTTATGAAAATAATTACAGCCTCGATATTAAATGAGAACTCTAAAATATATTAATTAGTTGTGTATATCACTACCAGGTTCAAATATAGAATTATTTGCTGATTACATCATAGAGCTCCTTGAAATGAGTTGCAATAAAACATTTTTTGTGAGGGATTTTAACATTAATTAGGGAATTAATTTATAAACTCAATGCACAGTTTGAGTCTTTATCTGTAATATCYAGACCAACAAGTATCACAACTCATAGCACAACAGTGACTGACAATATTTTTCCTAAGAAGAAATAGAGAGGTGATGASTGTGATCRTCATGACTGATWTAAGTGATCATTTACCAGTTTTTGTATTTTGTAGAAATTGTGCAGTGATGCAGCGACTCGGGAATGAGAAAAGGATAAACATACACTACTCACAAAAAGTTAGGGAKATTMGGCTTTTGGGTTAAATTTCAGGACGAGCCTAAAATGCATTTAAACCTTTACAGGTGAACTTAATGTGAYCTTCTCTAAGCTTTTGAATSCATGTATCYAACTGATAAATGTTTCAGTTCTTTTTGCACAAGTTGCTGTTTTCTAACGAGGAGCTTAACGGCAAAATTCACAACAGGWGTTTGATCCTTGRATCGACCAATAAATGTCCTGGTTCAGTTAGAGCTGGTGTTTAAACAGTCATCCCCATCATGCTGTTTGCATTTTGACATCATGAGACCAAGACGACACCTAACAATGGATCAACAGTACCTTGCCATTGGGATGCTTCAAACAGGACGTTCTCAGACAGACATGGCCACTGAGCTTAGAGTTGTTATGATTGTTGTCTGTATTAATGTTTTATTTTAGTTTCTGTCTTGTCATCTGTTTTCCTCCTCCTGTCTGCCTTTGCTCCAGCCCCGCCCACTCTCACCTGCTCCTCATGTTTCTCTCCCAGGTGTTTCCTSTTTGTGCTCATTAGTCTCACCTTTATATTCTGTGTCTTGTCTTCACTTCCCTGTCTGATCATTGTGCTGTTCACAGCCTGTATGTTTGTTGCCTTGCCTTGCCTTGCCTTGCCTTGCTACACCAAGTGAGTTTTTGAGCTGCTCTGTCAGCAATTTTTGTTTAATAAATCTTTATTTTTTCCTTTTGGAAGCTGCCTGCACCCTGGGTTCATGTTTGCCAATTCATAACAGAATGATCAGACCAACAACTGAACCCAGCAGGCAGTTTCCCCCCCTACAACCTGCTTCTCATCTGTTCAACCACCGCTCCAAACTGAGCTGGACACAGGAACTTTGCTGGAGAAGCTGCAGCACATGCAGAGTGAGCTGGCTGGCCTGAAGTTTCTCTTCTCTTCAGGGTACCCATCAGAGCCAGTGGTTCCTGAGGGTTCTGAAACCCACCCTCCCCACCCCTCTGATGCTGGATCCCCTGCTCCAAATCCTGATTGTCCTGTTCCTGCTCAGTCTCCTGATCATGCTGAGCCTCCTGCTGTACCTCCAGCTCTGGTTCCTGTGGGCCCTCCTACTGAGCCACCTGTTCCTGAGGTTCTTGGGTCGTCGGCTATCACCTCCATGTCGCCTGGGTCGGCTGCCATCGCCTCTTCGTCTCCTCTGTCGCCTGTGTACGCCTTTGCCAAGGCTCTGGCTCCATCAACCTCCGCCGGCTCCTCATCGCCTCTTGCCTCCTCCCTTGGCTCCACGTCTGCTCCTGCCTCCTCCCTTGGCTCCACGTCYGYTCCTGCCTCCTCCCTTGGCTCCACGTCTGCTCCTGCCTCCTCCCTCTGGCTGGGCTATGTTATGATTGTTGTCTTTATTAATGTTTTATTTTAGTTTCTGTCTTGTCATCTGTTTTCCTCCTCCTGTCTGCCTTTGCTCCAGTCCCGCCCACTCTCACCTGCTCCTCATGTTTCTCTCCCAGGTGTTTCCTCTTTGTGCTCATTAGTCTCACCTTTATATTCTGTGTCTTGTCTTCACTTCCCTGTCTGATCATTGTGCTGTTCACAGCCTGTATGTTTGTTGCCTTGCCTTGCCTTGCCTAGCTACACCAAGTGAGTTTTTGAGCTTCTCTGTCAGCAATTTTTGTTTAATAAATCTATTTTTTTCTTCTTTTGGAAGCTGCCTGCACCCTGGGTTCATTTTTGCCAATTCATTACAAGAGTATCACAGAGTGTCATCAGCAGGTTGCAACAGAGATACTGAGAGACTGGAAGAGTCACAGAAAGGTGTAGAAGTGGACGTCCTTTGACCACATCCCATGCTGATGACCGCTACATTGTGAACAATGCCCTGASAAACCAGATGATGAATGACACTCAACTCYAGGCACGGTTAARGAAGGTGAGAGGCACCCAAGTGTCACATCAGACCACTCTAAACCATTTACATCAGCSTGGTCTGCGTGTTATATGACCTGCAAGGGTACCTGACCACACCACCAGGCACAGGCGTCATCGTCTTGCATGGGCCAGGGAGCATTTACGCTGAACGAGGGACCAGTGGGCCTCAGTGCYATTCTCTGATGAAAGTCGATTCACAATGAGCAGAAATGATGGCYGCCAGCGATGTTGGAGACGTCAAGGAGAGCGATATGCATCAGCCACTGTTGTCACCAGAAGAGCTTTTGGTGGTGGCGGTGTTACAGTGTGGGCAGGTGTGTCCAGTCTGTACAGAACTGCCCTACACTTTGTGAATGATACAGTGACAAGCCCATACTACCTGAATAACACCATTAATCCAGTGATTGTGCCCCTACATGAACAACACAGGACTGATTTCATCTTCATGGACAACAATGCTCCAGCTCATCGAGGTTGCATCATCAGGGAACRGCTGTTGGAGACTGGTGCACCTCAAATGGAGTGGCCTGCACTTTCTCCAGACCTGAATCCCATTGAAAATCTGTGGGATCAGCTGAGTCGCCTTGTAGAGGCTTGAAACTGCACCCCACATCCTCAATGACCTGAGAGCTGCCCTTCAAGAACAGTGGGATACCATGCCCCAGCAGACAATAAGTCGACTTGTGAACAGCATGAGACGTTGTTGTCAAGCTGTAATTGATGCTCAAAGGCACATAACGAGTTATTGAGACATTGAAATTTTTTGTTCTGGTGTACCCACCATTGGTCATTTTTGTTTCAATAAATTGTTTGAGATGAGGAAATCACCAGTGACATATCACTATAGCGTGGACTTTTTACATTTTCCATAAAATTCACCTGAAAGCCAAATATCCCTAACTTTTTAGTGGTGTATATGTAAAAAAGCTTTGGACTAAATTTATAAAATCCAAATCAGAAGGATGTGCATGTTGATGATGTAAACAGAGCATWTGATGTGTTTATGAATATGTTGGGAGCTCTGTATGAAAAGAATTGTGTGCAACAAAACTGCTTAAAAAGAAACGTTGTTGACAAACCATGGATGRCAAAAGGGTAAAGAAAAATTGTTTTCAACAATTGTAGAGAATTTTTTTACAAGATCATACTGATTTATTGACAAACAGAATTTTTAAGTATGGCATCAAAACAAATAATTCAACATCAATGGCTCTCATGGAATTAATGGAAGAGATAACTGCTGTTGATCAAATACAGTACTGTGTTAGTGTTTTTGTTCATTTGCAGAAGGCCTTTGACACCACTGACCACACCATTCTCTTTGAAAAGCCGAATAAATACAGCATTAGAGGATCAGGGCCCATATTTATCAAACGTCTTAGAATTACTCTAAGGAATGCCATTAAGAATGGACTTAAATGTAAAAAATATTAGTTAAAAGCTGAGAGTAAAAGTCAGTTATCAAGCSTCTCAGTCTCATGTTAAGCGAAGTGTAGGAGTAAATCTTCAGTGCCAGTCTTAGAGATGATTTGTGACACCTGGCTGTGCCACAAAGCTGATCCTGGATGACGTCATTACAAAACCTCCAGCATGGACCAATCACTGCGTCTGATTTCATGTTCAAGAAGATTGCATGAACCGTTCATATGAACAGATTTGTTCTTAAGTTGTGTGTGCGAGTGATTTAGGAGAACTTCACATTCACCAATTTTCTCATATTATTAGATTTTTTTCAGATATGAACAAAATTCAGCTGTGTTCCAGACCTGTGGGATATTTTACAAGCAGTCAGTCTGCTGTTATCCAGACGGGTTTTCTTTGCTAATAACTTTATATTTCATTAGTTTGAAGATATTTAGAGTTGAAAATAAATATCAGATATTTATCTGATATTAATATTAATAT